ATTAAGGGGATGTTTGGAACCGTGGCCATTTTTCAAAAAAATGGTGCCACGTTGGATCCACATAGGCGTTTCAACAAACGCCCATGTATCTCATTGTTTGGTTAAGTCAATTATTAAAAAATCAGGCATGCCTTGAAAATCGGGACCCTGCCGATGCATCAATGAACCGTTTCCCCCAACGGTTGACTGATGTGTATCCTATGTGGTGTTTACCTATCAGCACAAACATGAAAAACGGTGATGAAAATCACCTTACCAAATATCATAGTGTTGCTCGCTGCCTATGTGGCAGAAACGCTTTTTTGTGAAAAATAGGTCTTGGAAGCATGGGCGTTTTTTCTTGAAAATCAGTCCCAAAAAGTGCTCACGCTTCCAAACACCATGTAACTTTGGATTGGGCCAAAAGTTGATAGTGAACTTAGATTGTACTAAATAGGGATCATTGCTCTGGGCCTCATTCTCTTAATTCTTGCTCATTCTAGGCAAGAATGGGCAAGAATGAATAACATTAGAATGTTTGTTTACAAAATTCTTGCTAAGGGACACATTCTTTTTAGAATGAAAAATCAGCCCCATAACACAAAAATTGATTAGCTTTCAGCATGAAAAATAATCATGCCCTATCTTGCTCATTTCATTCTTTAAGGAAACTCTACCTATAAAACTGTTGTCATGTATGCTTACTTTTGCGGAACCATTTTTACAAAAGTATTTTTATGAAAGTACTTTTACAAAAGTATTTTTGTGAAAGTACTTTTATGAAAGCAATTTTATGGAAGTACTTTTATGAAAGCACTTTTACGAAAGCACTTTTATGAAAGTACTTTTACAAAAGCACTTTTAGAAAATATTTTTATAAAAGTAGTTTTACGAAAGTGCTTTTATAAAAGCACTTTTATGGAAGTACTTTACAAAAGTACTTTTATGAAAGTACTTTTATAAAAGTATTTTTAAGAAGGCACTTTTACAAAAGTATTTTTATGAAAGCACTTTTACCCAAATACAAAAACACTTTTATAAAAGCACTTTTATGAAAGTACTTTTATAAAAGCATTTTTACGAAAGTACTTTCATAAAGCACTTTTGCAAAAGCAATTTTATAAAACATTTATGCCAATTAGTAACCATTGACTAATGGAGACCTAGGTTTGTGGTTTGTGAATACCGACACTTTTTTTTTTCTAAAGAATGAAAATGAACAACATAGGACACTTGTTAGTCTGAAAAGAATTCACTTTTTAAAAAAAAAATATTTGATTCATAGCAATATTTTCCCATTCTACCTATTTTTATCCATTCTTTTTTTTATTTTAGAATTTCAAAATGAGAATTGGACCAAACATAGACTAATGCTCTTCCACTTCTTGCAACAAGGATGATCTAAAACAATAGAACACCAATGAACACTTAGTATCAGATGGGTCTGGTTCCTTTCCACGTCTACAATCCAAACCTTTGATACAAGGCATCGTGTCCATAATAAAAAAAGCCCAAATGCTCAATTCGAGAATAAATGTTTAAATTTCGTGGACGCTTGACATGGGCCGAAACCACTAGTTAAGTTCCACATGGATTGATATGGAAATGGATCCAACATGTCTAGTTCAGACCTGGTCCATAATCCATTTCATGGCTTGGGCTTGGGGGTCTACCAGGTGGCAAGTGGCAACACGCATGTAACGTAGCGGCTAGTGCATGTGATGTGTGCATCAAATTGAGATTAAACTAGTGCGCCGTACTTCAATATATGAGCTTCACATGGGATAACAATTTTTTATCAATAAATAATAATAATAATATTAAGTAAGTGAGACTAGAGAAGCCCCGCACCGTCCTGACAGAAGTGAGAGCCCGGCATGTGAAGTCCACAGTCAAGGCCCAGCCCTCTAGATTCAAAATTTCGGAATATCGCAACATTTTTCTTTTTTTTTAATTTATGTTTTCACGAGAGAAAGGATATCAAAGCAAGAAATAAACGGCGCATTTTTTTTTGTTTTTATTATATTTTCTATGACAAACATAAATGTGGAATAAATAACAATAATAATGAGACCTAAAAAATAATTATAATAATAAAAAAAAAGAAAATGAACAGTTGGATACCATTATTATCAAAGTACGAGAGGTAATAGATGGGTCGTTTTCTACTTCTAATATGCAAGGGTAGTTTCGTAATTTTGGAGTCGACTGATGAGGGGGTATTTTTATACGTGAGTCTACGTTCAGGGGAACAGCAAAGCTGGTGTGTCAGACTTGGCGTGCATTACGGTGGAGAGAGAGAGAGGGGAGTCTCAAAGTCTCATAGTCTCGACTCTCGACTGAACAAAGAAGCCATTCTATTCTGTTCTGAGAACTGAAAGGAAAAAAAGTAAATTTTATTTATATTTCTTTAAAAAAAGTATATATATTTTTTCAAATACAAGGAATATCAATGTCTTTTGATCTTTTCCCTTTTTTAATTAAAAAGTAATGTGTTTAAGAGAGAGGCATCGGTGGTGCTGATTCTAATGAGACTGTGAGAACATTCTCAGCTTGGCTTTTTGTGTATAGTTTGTGTTGCTGCTGGGTTGGAAGGCAAAATGAGAACAACTGTTAATGGGTGATTTTAGCGTTGGATCGGAACTCGGAAGGGTTGGTTTCTTTAACTCATTCACTGTGTTGACTGTTGAGTGCAGTGGTGGTTTTGCTCTGCCAGGTGCAATGCTGATACAGGAAGTACAAGATTATTGAGCCCACTAATATTAACTCTAAAGAAGATCGACTTCGGTACAGTTGGGAGGTGGAGAAGTTTCGTTGGGTTTTACTTATCATCTTGGTAGGCTTATCCTTCTCTCTGTCTTGTTCTTTTTTGTTTATCTTGACTAGTTATTGGTTTGGTTTCGTTGTTCTTGTCGTCTGAGCCAGCTTTGTGTTCATTTTTTCTTTTTTCTAATTTTCATCTGGGAGTAATTAAGGTGGTCTTTTTCTCTGATCTCTCTCTCCTTTAAAACAAGTTGACATGGAGCTGGTTTTATAGGTTACCTTCTCTAATGATCACCACAAGTGGGCTTTTAGTGTATTAATTGATCCCAAATATTTATTTGTTTTATGGGTGGTGGCCTTCTGTTGCATCTCTAATTTGATGTCCGGGGGGTTGTGGCAAAATTTCAGCCCCATGTTCAGTTATTTCAAGTTTGCAAGGATTTAATTGGTACTGTTGTTCTCTGTTTAAATAATGTAGTTTCTTTTTCTACCGGCTTTGGGTCTTTTTCCCTCTCATTTTATTGCTTATATTTTGTGAAAAAAAGAGATTGTTGTTGTCTTCCGTTTCGGTGGTTTCTTCAACTGATACCGAGATGCTGTTTTCTGTTGTAGCTTGTAGGTTCTCAACGGAGGAACAACGGTGAAAGAAAAATTAAGAAGGAATGTGGATTGTATTCTAGGGTCTGGAGCTCGAAAAACTGCAGATGAGAAGAAGTCTTGGTGATACTGGATCTTTTCCTGTTGATACATTAAAGTGGAGGCTTAATAAACAATAAAAGGAGAACCATAAACAAATGAGGAAGGGGCGGTGGTGTCAGGTTTGTGCTTGTGGGTGTCTCTGGTCTGAGAATTATTTAGTGTTGAGAGCCTGTTGGCAGTGTCTCCTGGGCTGACCGTTTGCGCCCGGGGTCCGTGGGCTCTGCCGTCGACAGAGGAAACAAGCTCTTCTTTGGGTCTTTTGCCATTGAAGAGAAATCCGTCTTAAAAAATTACATACCTCGTTTACTCTTCCTCTCTGTCATTTTACTCCTGCCTCGGTTCATGCGATAAGATTCGTTCCTTCCCCGTAAGAATATATCCTTCACCTTTGATCCAACCTTCCTTCCCTTGAAGCCAGGAGAATCGGTCAAAAAATTCACAGTATCCATTTCTTACACTTAGCCTTTTCTTGTTCATTACTGGTCTTCTGCTGCCTCTTTTTTTTTTTCGCTGGATATGGGCGACGGTGACGGCCAGGAAGGTGGTTTAGTTAATTAAGAACTGTGAGAAGCTTGCTTTGGAATCTCGAAGTAGAAGCTGTATCAGATCTTTTCCCTGCAAAAATGAAGTTTATGAAACTTGGATCAAAGCCAAATTCATTTCAAACTGAAGGGAGCAATGTTAGGTGAGATCATCTGGAGCTTGTTAATGGCTCTTCCTTTTCCAACTTCCTTTAGGCCTTACTGCTCTTATGCTGATGTTTTTCAACTTCTAGCGTTGGTTCTATTAACCATTTAACATTTGGACTTTTCTTAAATTGGGCTTGTGTTCCGGGAAATTCTAAGTGTCACTTGGTGGATGATGTATGATCTTTTTGTCCTTCCAATTTGACGTATATTTGATGAAGGGTTTGGGGGTAGATCAGGAAACTAAGCCAATTTCTGTAATAACATGTATCAATGATTTAGTAATGGTCTTAATCTCTAAAGTTCTTACCTAAGTCTTGAGTGGTTGAAATTTCGCCGCTCAATGGACTTGTATTCTTCTCTTTGGTGGGACCCTTGTAGAAAACCTTTTTGTTCTCTGGTTGCAGTTTTTGTAGGAATCGGTCTTCCATTTCTTGGATATGGTTCTTATGAAGAATAGGGGTTTCCCTTATATTGAAATGTTATTTTCAGATGACTGCACTCTTATTGCTGGACTTTAGAAAGCATGTTACCTTTCAAAAGTTTCTGGGTGTTGCCTATTGTTGATCATATCATGGATATCAGCATACATGCTCCTGTACTACTTGATATTCTACTAATTTTGAACCGTGATGCCATAAGTTTTCTAAGATACAGGCTTTTGAATATGTCTGACTCGAATGGTGGTAGGACTGAGTGATTGACCAATAAGTGGAATCTAGTCTGATGATTTTATGGGGTAGCCTTACATGAAGGCCAACATTACTGGATCATTTTACTTCTTGCTAACAAGAACTGTCACCATACGTCCTTCGCTTTACTAAGTGATCCTGTGATGTCAAGTTTACTATTTTGGCAAGAGAAACTAGTTTAGTTAGAAAATGTCTGGTTGACTTTTGCTTTTATAATTAGTGGATGTTGCCTTCTTTTACATGTCTTTGACATTGTTTTATTTAGTTAACTGCAATATTATACTGGAGAAAGATGCTTTTAGTATACATCTACCTCCTCTGTCTTTCTACCTGCTTATATTCATAAATTCCGACTTTTTCACAAATGAGATTCTCTCTATATTTTTAAGATTTATGATCTTGCAACTAATCACTCGAAGATTACCACTGTACTTGCCATAGTTCGGCATTTACTGGTCATTTATAAGAGGAGTTGCAAATCTAGATTTTTTTTTTTTTTAAGTGGATATTTTTCTGACCTGAGAAGCTTGAGAACACAGGTTTGAGTCCGAGTGCAGTCACTTTGTGCTAAAAAATGAAAGAAGGAAAAAAGGCCAAAATTTAGGCCTGCATCCACTCTAACCCTCCCAAGCCCCCAGATTAGCTGGGACCATCATTGGATAGTGGCCCTTTGGAGATGTTTCTCTATGCAATTTTAGCAAGGGTTGTCACCGTCCTCATGTTGATGATGACACATTCCAAGTTTATATTTTGGTGTTCAAATCCAGTTTTACTATACCATGCATGAATATCTAATTGTTTTTATATTTCAACATAAACATGTCATTTCTTTTGTTCTTTGTTTTTATTTAAGTATTCCTGGGTGTGTAACTGTGTAAATACTTGGTAATTTATTAATCCTATGCTTTAAAGCAATTTAGTTAATCTGTCAAGCACTGATTCTTTCAGTACTACCTTTTTCTTACATGGAAATGCAGTGGGTGACATGTATAATTTATTATACTATGACAACTGACTATAAAAAAAATGATATGTTATGACAATGAAATTGATAGGCTAGTGTAACTCAACAGTTCTTTTTTTTTTTTTTCATTCTTAATTTGAAGCACTTGATGTGGACAAGATTTTCTTCTTGTTTTCATTCTTAATTAGAACTATCTCATTCAGTGAGCGTTACCGCTGCTATAAATTTTAACCAGTCATTTGAAGAAGCTTCTTTTTTATCTTTTTATTTGTTTTTCCTGCTTGATTTAAGATATGTTTTTTTTTCTTCTTTGCCTTGCAACTTTTTCTTCTATAATTTTTGTAAACAAGAAAAGAAAAAAGCTAAGTTAATAGTAAGTGATATCAAGGAAGAAACTTTAAAGGCAAGAGGAGACAAAGTGTAACTGAGGATTTGATCTTTGATGTTATTGGTGATGGTTGGAATATTTGGAAAAAGATCTATCCATCACAGACATCAGGATTTATTCTTTCTTTGCAAGGGAAAAAGATAACTTTCCCTTTCATGCAGAGTTACCTTGTAAATTTTTTCTTGTTAGAGAAATTTTGGGAATTTTACCTACTTGTCAAGCAACATGGGACAGTTCCATCACCTAATCAGTTGAAATTCATAAAAGAAAAATAAGGAAAAAGGCAAAGAGTTTCTGATGGAAAAATACTTCTTAAGTATACTTTGAATGCTATAGGACAAGCTTGATGTTTACAGAAGGTTTCTTTCATTAGTATTTTGAGGTGTGGACATACAAAATATGAATAAATTGATTGGACAATGTTACATCTGGTTATGGATCTGCTTCCTAACCTTCTATTTATGTACTAAGTGTGGCGACATATAAAGGAGCCAGGGCTCCATTATCCAGGAAACAATAAGCAGATAAACATGTGAGGAGAAAATAAGCATTGAGAGTTACAGTTTAGGAATAAAACTTCAACTGTCAATGAGATAAAATTAGGATAAGGAGAGAAATTTGCAAAGGTGTACAACCATGTGGTGTGGATGCAAAAAGTGAGTGTTGTTGGCTAATCAAAATATCTTCTGTAATTTTCTTCTCCAAGTCTTCATTTTTTCTTCCATTCTTCCCTCTTGCACTTTCCTTGGCGTCACAGTTGTTTCACTTTTTTTTTTTTTTTCACTAGATGCTTCACTGGCTTACAATGACTAATTTTTAGGACACCCAGAACTATCTTAAATCTAAAGATTAATTCACTTCCTAAACCCTAGGAGGATTAATTCAAAACATTTAATACAATCATAGGGTCTCATGGAGAAATAAGGGAGGTGAGAAAAATGTATGCAAACTCACAATAACGAGGAAGAAAAGTGAATCCTCTAGACCATTGACTAGAGTAACATATTCTGGTCTAACCTTGTAAATTGGACACACCTAAATACACAGGTGATGGCTGTTTTATTGAGAAATTACAAAAATACCCCATCTAAACTTTAGGTGTGTATTGGAGACACTTGGTCAGGATTCAGGAATAGGTAGTTTCTTCTTTATTGCATCCTACTTTCATGATTTCATCAGCCTTCTCAAATTGATCTTTTGTCTTGTATTTATTACTCATTCTCTAGTGTTATAGTTCAGATAATTTTGACTCTTAGAACTGTAAAAGTATGTGCCCTTTGATCTAGAAATCATTCTTTTTGTATTTGTATAAGTATGTTCCCTTTGACCTAGAAATCATTCTTTTTGTATTGGACTCTTGTCTGAGAAAGTGTGCCACACAATGCCCATGGTTTTCATCTTTTCTTTATGGATCCCTGCATCTTTTTCTATTTGAATTCGTGCTGGAAATACTGGCAGAAATACACTGGTCTAGAAAACCTGGCAATTATAGTTGAAAGTAATAACAATTCCATTAAATTGTTCTTCATTGCTCTAGAACATATGCCTCCAGAAGATCTTTATGTGGTATCACCTTTTTTCTTTTCACTTGTAATACTTGAGTTCCATTACTTCATTCCAACACAAGCTGGATTTCAGGTTTTGTTTTCAGTAAGTCCTCTCAACTACTTAGTGTAGCACACAAATCAGCTGTACTCTGTAGTTGCTTTAGTATAGTCATTAGTCATTTTAGTATACAAAATATGTGGTGAAAGTTTGTATTCTAATTTCATGAATTTTTAACTAGTGTATCTTATTTCTATATGTATTAGGCAAAAATGAACAAATCCACTGCCTTAAAAGTTATTTAAGATGCATAAAATGGCAGTATAAAAACTATAGATGCATGTAGATATTAGTTTTTATCTATTTTACAGATATGATTAGAGGAATATTTCTATTTGCAGGTATGTAGCAACTGAGTTGGCAACTGATATCATTGTTAATGTTGGTGACATGAAGTTTTATCTACATAAGGTACAATTCTGTTATTTGGATATGCACATTCACAAATATATAAGTTGAAGTTAAGATAGGCATTGGTGGAAAATAAAGTTCAGTGACCATAACATTTATAACGGAAATACCCTGAACTTTCTTATGTACTTTGAGATTACTGTTTCCTGTAAGGTCAGAAAAAAAAAAGGGCCTGGGATGTTTCAATTCAATATCTTTCTTTTACCCAGCAAAACAAAGAGGAAAAGGAAAAAGATAAGGGGAGGAGGTGATTTGGGCACATTCAATATCTTTCTTTCACCCAGCAAAACAAAGAGGAAAAGGAAAAAAGATAAAGGGAAGATGTGATTCTGGCACGTTCAATTTTCCATAAGAGGAGAATACCCCTATTTATATTCAAAAGTTCAATTCTTTAAGAAACAAAGTTATTTCACATTAATCCCCAAGAGAATTCACTACCCTTGTACATGCAAAAAGTATGTATTATGAAACATATATGATTTAACAACTGCTTTAATGGAGTATCCATAATTCTAGCATTCTGCATTTCTAGTTTAAACAAACGTTGCAACCTTGGATGTTCATCACTTGAACAAATCCACATGTTAATATTTATTACCATGCCCTTAAACTGAATCTATTTATCTGGAAATTCTAATTTACTATGAATATTTTGATTCTGTAGTTTCCCCTTTTGTCCAAGAGTGCTCGTTTGCAGAAGTTGGTATCGAATACAAATGAGGAAAACAATGATGAAATCCATATCCCTGACATTCCTGGTGGACCTGCAGCTTTTGAAATATGTGCCAAGTTTTGTTATGGTATGACAGTCACCCTTAATGCTTACAATGTCGTTGCAGCTCGTTGTGCAGCAGAGTACCTGGAGATGCATGAAACTATAGAGAAAGGAAACTTAGTCTATAAGATTGATGTCTTCCTAACCTCCAGCATCTTCCGCAGTTGGAAGGATTCGATAATAACTCTTCAGACAACAAAATCTCTGCTACCTTGGTGTGAGGAGTTGAAGGTGGTAAGCCACTGTATCGACTCTATAGCTTCCAAGGCTTCCATTGACACTTCCAGGGTTGAGTGGTCCTACACATATAACCGCAAAAAGCTCCCATCAGAAAATTGGACTGATCCTGACTGGAAGGGTGTCAGGAAATATCAGGTGGTGCCAAAGGACTGGTGGGTTGAGGACCTTTGCGAGCTTGAAATTGATTTCTACAAGAGGGTTATAGTAACTATCAAAACTAAAGGGAAAATTTCCAATGATGTAATTGGGGAAGCTCTAAAAGCATATGCATTTAGAAGGTTACCAGGTTTCAGCAAGGGCATGATCCAAGGGGGTGATGCCATAAAAAACCGGTCTTTGGTGGAGACCATTGTATGGCTATTGCCCACAGATAAAGGCAGTGTCTCCTGTAGTTTCATGCTCAAGCTCCTAAGAGCACTTGTCTCTCTGGATTCTGGAGAAATGGGGAAGAGAGAGCTGGTGAAGAGAATTGGACGACAGCTAGAGGAGGCCTCAGTACCTGATCTTTTGATTCGAGCTCCAGGGGATGAAACTACAATTTATGATGTTGATATAGTACAAAACATTGTGGAGGAGTTTGTGATGCTGGATCGGAGTGTTCACACTGACCTTCCAGTAGCTGAAGAACTTAAAGAGATTAAAAGCCCAAGGTTTGTGTCTGATGCTTCCAAGCTTTCTGTGGCAAAGCTTGTGGATGGCTACCTTGCAGAAATTGCGCGTGATCCCAATCTTTCTCTGTCAAAGTTCATATGCCTTGCTGAGATGGTATCAAGCTTCTCAAGGCCACACCATGATGGGCTTTACCGTGCAATTGACATGTATCTCAAGGTAACTTTATAAAAATATAGAGTTTTGCATTGTGAGTTGAAATCCTTTCTCTTCACTGGAGTTCCAAGGATTTCTGGAAATAGATATATGCTGTGCTTACTAATAAACTCTTAACTTCTTCAAACTTCAAAGATGAGCACACAAAAGAGGTTTGATAGATGGCATCCAAATACAGGACTACTAGTGTACAAGCATCTGGATCACTTTCAAATGCATGTGCTGTGTTTATATTACAACCTATTGTTTGCTAACTTGTATTTTGAACTGATTTTGTATTGGCACAGGAGCACCCAGCAATCAGCAAAAGTGAGAGGAAGAAGATATGCAGGCTGATGGATTGCAAGAAACTATCAGTCGATGCCTGCATGCATGCTGTACAAAATGAGCGACTCCCCCTGCGTGTAGTTGTGCAGGTCCTCTTCTTTGAGCAGGTCAGGGCTGCCACATCTGCTGGTGGCAGAACAGCTGAACTGTCTGGGAATGTCAGGACTTTACTACCACAGGAAAATGGCGGGTCCCATGGGAGCTCAAGATCTGCAACAACTAACACGGAGGACTGGGACGCTGTCCCAACAGCTGAAGAGCTCAAAGCCCTAAAAGGGGAGCTTGCTTCCTTGAGGTTGGAGGGTGGAGGTAGAGGAAGCAACAGACATGGAAATGATGATAAAAGTACGATTGACAAAGCAGCAGCTAATAAGATTAGAGGGTTGCTCATGTCCAAGAAGATATTTACTAAGCTGTGGTCAAGCAAAGGGGGACAGAGTGAGAATAGCAGTTCTGATACATCTGACAGTCTGGGTTCTACCAACAACCCGGAAGATACCAAGTCCACACCTTCCAGAAGCAGGAGACATTCAGTATCTTAGTAAGAAGAGAGAGGGTTGTGCGGGGTGGCCTCCCACTGTTGACGTTAGGAAAGTTGTAACTACTGACATTTCCAATTGACGGGGTGAAAGAAGGTAGTGCTCACTAGGAATCAGAACCAAAGAGCATGTGGCTTATGGCTAGACAGTGGAATTGATTCATGGTTAGTTCTTTTGTTCACTTCAAGGAAATAGGGAGGTTTTTCTTTCCTTTTTGGTGTACCATAAGTAAATGAAATGTTATACTATCAGTTTATCTTCATTAGCGCCCCTATTTTCTTTGTTCTGTATTTCGTTGGCTTTGCTTCAATATATTTCCCAATGTTCTGAAAACTGGACTGGTCGGTTGAACCGTGACCTGGCCCCCCTAGCTGGTCATACCCCTAAAACCGGTATGTTCAAAAAACCATGAAAAACCATTTGCCCGGCCAGTTCAACCCGAGAACCGGTGAATTGGTCCCGGTTTTGCTTAATTGGCCAGTTTTTTAACATTCTCATTTTTAATTAGTAGAAAAGGACAAAAAAAAACTTAAAATTGGGCCAAACAGCCTCTAAGGTCCAATCGAAAAATCCCAATCCCAGCCAAAAATAAACCCTCTTCAATCGATCTCTGATTCTCTTCTTCCTCTTCAAGCCTAACCTAAGTCCAGCGAATCCAGCGACCACCACCAGCACCTCGCCACTAACACCAGGTAGTCTCTCCCCTCTTCTTCTTCTTTGGTAGTGGCAGCGGTGGACTCTGTTCACCACGTACGTCCCTCCAGCTATTCCCTCCAGTTCTTCTTTGGCAGTGGCGGCGGTGGCACTTTGTTTGTTGGTAGAGTGGCCATAGGCCCTCGTTTGATTCTCAACATGTTGGAATACCCAATGGCCATGTGACAAGCCACATGTTGATGGAAGATGATTATTTTATGGTTATCTCCATGCAACACTCTCATACACAATCATTCATTTCAAATTATTACTTATTTATTTATTTTTTATAAAAAATTAAATTTATTTGATTGTTTATTTGGAAATGTTTTTATGCATGGAGATGCCAATATTGCTGGATTATTCTAGATCCAAATTCCAGCTCTTATTGGGTCAATGGATATCCATTTGACCCAGTCTAGACTAGATGACCATGTGGCTAAGATCCTTGGTCAATATGAGACACTTGTCTCAATCCGGAGGGGCTTGACTTAGTCAACCAAACGGTTATACTTCAATGTTCCTATTAGCATTTATTGCACATAGTAGGACATTGTCATAAAAGGGCACTTAGCTTGTTTCTAAAGCACACGAAAAGACACCTAAGTGAGGGAAGAGCATAGAGCCTCCCAGTTAGCCCAATTCGGATTAATCAGTTCCAGGTTGCACTTTGCTTCCATGGGCTAGTGTCTCGGATCCTATATTGTGCGCTACTCTTTTTCTCCTATATGCAAGTTTGGTATGCCAAGATCTCAGCCGTCCATCTCTGCATCTACTCGGTCCTTCACTCACTAGTATCAGAGCCCAACATCGACTAGCATATTATTTTCACTGTGACCCGCAACATTGAATCGGACCTCATCATTTAAGCTTCATAGAGGGCGAGGAGAGAAATTTTTTTGTTCAAAGGTTTTGTCTGGTCTCTACCGAAACCCTGTTCGACAGCCTCTCCCATCTGTAGATATCAGTTCTTTTTCTTCATCGACTTGAGCGAGGAGATTCCTTCAAAAGAACTTGTTCGGGGGGTTTCCTCTCGTCTCTCCCATCTCCGAGAGGACATGACCCAGTTCGAAAGCTTCCATACTTCTTCACTGAGACCGTGTCTCAACAGCAAATTGCCTCCATCGTTCGAGTTCAAGGTGTGCTTCTTCTCTTGTCTTCACTGAAGCACCTGTTCGAGTTTTTCTTTCTTCTCATCTCCGAACGAACCGGCGATATCCAGCTACAGTCATTTAATCACTGCAAATGAAAGCATGTATTGGTGATTTACTTCGGCCAAGGATACAACCATGGCTCATATTCGCAGATCAAAGTTTCTGGTCAAGAAACCCTGCGTATATTTGGGTTTATTGATCCTCTACACATCTAAGAATAAGATTTGCTCGTCCTAGAGAATTGAAAGCTGAAAATCAGTCCCAAATCCAAATCGGGTATTAGAAACCCTTATTTATATATTTATTTTTTGGTTTGACTCCATTTATTTTCTGGGATTCTTGAATGGTTCATGTTCTCTTTGCTTACCCATCTTAATTAATTATTTACATTTTTTTGAGGATTAATACCATTCAAAGCTGAGAGCTATTCGATGCATAAAGTCGTTCAAGCCTCTGGACCTGTTTTGAGCACCCATCTTCTTTTGCGTACTAGCTTCAGTCGAACGTCACTGTGCATAAGGCAACAATATGCATAAAACCATAACACATTGTCATTGGCTTCTAACGAACTGGAACTCAAACATCTCCAACCTAGTGTGATTGTTCAAACCTAGATGTATTCATCTTGGAAAGGATTGTCTATGGTAACTGTTTTGTTTTATTGCAACTTTGAGCTCCTACAGCTGCCTACACCAGACTCCATCAGAGAAGAGGTCTAATAAAAAGGCCAGAGATTGAAGCAGTGAATCAAACTAAGGGACAAACCGGGTACCATCCTATTGCATCCAAGACTGCAAACAATCAAGATTTAGTTTGGACCTGATGTTGTGCACGAGTCAATGATGGTGAACTGGGTTACTGCTAGTAAGAGCGGATTGCTTGAGGCATTTCAACGAAAACAGCTAAGCTTTTCTCTTTGCCTTTATTTATTCTATTCTCAAGATATGTCTGTTGCATATGGATGAGCAGTTTAAAATTATTGGTTTGAATTAGTTTTGTATAAGCAATTACTTTGGGGATTTTAATTGAAATTCTTGCCTAATTCATGGGCTGCGTTGAGTTTTGTTGTAAATAGAAGGCTTGTTTCTAAAACATTTGAAGTTTTAAAGTTGTTTTAGAGACTTGCAATATATTAGGAGTTGTCTCCATTTTCCCTCGTATTTTCAACCTTTAATTCAAGGAACCAAATTAAGTTTGGCTTGTTCATTTCCTATTAAATAGCCTTAAAAATAGAAATTGTTCAAGTTGGGTTTTGTGCATTTTGACTCTCTTAAATGCTACCTGTTTTTCTATTTCCCAAATTTCTTTAATTGGTTTTCAAGTGGATTTTACTTAAATTAATTTATATTGATGACTAAATCATACTGATTGCAACAATTGATCTTATTCTTTGAATCTAAAAATATTTGATGCACGTTTACTAGAATATATATTTGGTTTATGTATCTTTTATTGAATTGTTGCACTAGAGGATAGCATGCCTGTTTTTTGACTATTGATCTTTCCTCATAATATTGCTATTTCTTTTGGTGATGATCAACAATGGTTTAAAATAAGTTGATCAATAGCTGTTTGGACATTTGATTGTTGGGAAGTCAATTGATAGTCCACTATATCTGAACATTTGATTCCTAAGAATTTAATTGATATTATACCTACTTACTATTGTGTTTTCATACAAACACTAATATTTGGACTCTTTGAATCAATTAAATTCTATTAGCCACTAGGCAGAAGAGACCCAACATTTTTTTTGGTCTCTTTCACTAGTTGTTGAAATAAAAGGTTTCTCATTCAATCATAATATGTATGATCCACTTTCTTGGTTTTTTTGTGAAAATTATACAATGGCATCTTTGTTAATTAAATCATTGAATAATCACATGTCTTGATATTAAAAAAAAAATCTAATATCTATATAATATTGTGAACTTTTGTTGAGTGATATTCAGTTCTATTGTGATTGGAAGATAATTCCTAAATTGTTTACTCAATTATTGCTTAGTTCTTGTTTGGGAAATCACTCTTTAGTTCTTAGATTGTAAATTTTTGCTCCCCATAATTGTAAAATTAGGAGTAGAAATCATACTCCCGAAGCTTAAAATACGAAGAAAAACTAAGAGGGAAATTATTATCCATATTAGTTCAGGTTGCATAAGGATAGTGGGAGTAAACATTTGACTATTAATAAAATAGATGTTTATTGTGTTTGTCATATAGATGATAATGCATATTGAGACTCTTGTATATGAGGATAAAATAGAAAGAGAGTTCTAATGATTGAATACATAAAATGGGAATGCATTATTAATGTTATGAACCATGTCTTAGTGAAAATTAATTCCCTTTTAGGAAAGGAAAGATATCAAATAAATAATTAGCAATTATCCTTTCAGATGAATGTGGCAATTTAAATGCAAAAACACATAGGAAAAGGGAATGTGCTCTGGATCCTAGACTTGGACATGTGTACTTGGTCAAGAAAAATCTGATTAGATAAATGCAAAATAAAAAAAAATCTCTTAAGAGAAATAGTGGAGAATATACACCCAACTTGTTTAATGATTTTTGTACCAAATCAACAAAAAAAGGCAAATTGGATAATAATGAGCTTTAAGTGTACCTTTATATACTATTCATATAGTGAAAATATCAAAGGTTACATATTTGTTAATTACAAATTTTGATGGGGCTATTGTATTAATGGAGAGTAAATGAAATTGTATCCCTAGAAAGCAAATTTTAGGAAGGGCCAACCTTATTGGAAGTTCTAGTTCTAGTCATTCTTGTACAAATTCCCATAGTACTTGACCTTACACTTTTGAGTCTAATACAATACTTTACCTCTTCAAAGAAAAAGGTTTCCTTAATTAGGAATAGTGGACTATTACATCTAAATAAGCAATCCCTTGTGTTTGAGAATTAATTGATTTTATCAAAACAGAAACCTATAGGGTATAAATGAATATTGAAGGATCTATATATAGAGAATTATAAATCAAGCTTTGTATATCAAGAAAGATATATTCTAATAGAAGCATTGATTATAAAGACATTTACCTTATCAGTTACTAAGTTTACTTCATGATGTTATTGGTTGTATATCTTCATTTTTTTTCTCTGTGTGAGAACTGCATTTCTTCATGAAGAAACATATATGATTCAGCTTATTTGATTTACTACATATGGCTTAAAATAATCCTCCAAGATTTGATAGCATACATTTTGAGATGCAATTTAAAAAAAGGGGGTGTTTATTCATAATTCCTTGTGCTTATTCTTTGAATAGTGGAAGTATATTTATTATTCTTCTCTTGTATGTAGAGCACACCCTAATTGCTAGTAGTGATGTGTCCACAATCAATGAAATGAATGATTCGTTGAAAACCAATTTGATAATGTAAGATCATTGAAAAATAGATAAAAATGCCAGAAATTTAGCT